CTCCCCCCCCCCCCCCCCCAGCAGCTTCACTGCACCACCCCCTCTTCCCCCAGATCGAGGATCTGTCCCAGCAAGCGCAGCTGGCAGCCGCTGAGAAGTTCAAGGTGCAAGGAGAAGCCGTGTCAAACATCCAGGAGAACACACAGACGCCCACAGTGCAGGAGGAGAGCGAGGAGGAGGAGGTGTGTGCCCACAACTGGCCCTTGTGTCTAGCGGAGCATGCTGAGAACTGGGGCTCTTACTCCTGTTTGGGTGCCATTCCCCCTCCCTGCCCCTACCCTGGGTTGAGCGATGCTGTCTTCATGGGGCCAACCCCATGTCGGCCTGATGCCCCCCAAGCCAACCCTGCTTCTCTCTGCTCAGGTGGACGAAACCGGCGTGGAGGTGAAGGACATTGAGCTCGTCATGTCGCAGGCCAACGTGTCCCGGGCGAAGGCAGTGCGCGCCCTCAAGAACAACAGCAACGACATCGTAAACGCCATCATGGTGAGTGTCCCTGTGGCCAGGCACCAGTTGTGGGGCAGTGAAGAGCAGCAGGGAGCGGGTTTCCCCCGGGACATACAGCCATGGACAGTGGTGCCAGGAGCCCTGTGGGCCATGCCTCTGAGAGCCCATGCCTTCTTCGCCCCTCTGCTCGGTAGGGCCAGCCTGGCACTGCCCTGCTCGGGCATTCCTCATTTTCCATCCTCACCACCTGGCAGGGATGGGGCAAACAGGACAGCTCCAGGCATCCCAGCCCCCTCTGGGCTGTGTGGCCAGGCAGAGAGCCAGTGTGGGGAGGTGCCAGGCTGCTAACTGCCCCATATCAAATCAAGAGAGCTCAGAACGGTCTGCCCCCTTCACAGGAATCCCCCCACCCCACATGGGGCCAGCCTCTGATCCCTCTCTCCCCTTCTCTCCCCTTCTGCAGGAGTTGACGATGTAGCCGTGGGAAGGGAGGAACCTTTTTGGTGTTTCAAAGCAGAGTCGATCACAGCTAGATTTAACCTTTGTACTATTTCTGTCGAGGAATAAACGTTGTGGCTTCTTGTTGGTGAAACCCTCCTATTTTCTTGGGTGAACTCTGCACTTCCCAGAGGAGCTGAGCCCGTGGGGGGCCGAGATGCGCCTTGTTCCCCTGCCTTCGTCCTCTGTGAGGCAGCAGGACCCCCGTGCATTAGCCCCTGGGTGTGTTTCCTGAGCAGGGAACACTGGTCTTCAACTTGACGTCCCAGCAGGCAGGTCTGTGGAGTATCACTCAGAGCTGGGGCCAGGTCCCTAGAAATCTGGGCTGCCATACATGAGGGGTTTAAACCCGACCCCTTTGCCTCCTGGCTCTCAAGCCTTCACATCGTGCTTTCTCCACGTCGCTCCAGACCCAGACGCCAGGGTTGTATGGATGGGAAATCCTCTCGGAAACGCGTGAGCTCACCCCAGGGGACGACGTCAGCAAACACTGAGATGCCACAGGAGCCGGCGGCCCTGTAATTACACAAACAATTCCCCCCTGAACGCTGTGTTGCTGGGAAGTTTCCTCGGAGTTTGCTGCCAGCAGCCTGCTGAGTCACCTGCTGTGGTGTGGCCCTTGCCTGGACTTGCTGTCACTGTATCGTCTTTCTATTGCAGCAGCACCATGGAGCCCTGCTGCCCGAGGCTTGGACATGCGGTAAAACAGGTCCTGCTGTTTTAAATGTGCCGTGTTGGGGCGGCACAGCACAGTGAAAAGCCCAGCTCTTCGCTTGTCTCTCTCATTTCCCCAGGCCTGCTGGTCCCACCTTGGCCTTATCCAGAAAGCTGTTGCCTGTGGTTCAGGGGAGAGTCCTCAGGGTTCAGAAAGGAGGTGGGGAAGGGTGCAGCTTTACCCCACAAAGTGTCTTAAGCATCCTGAAATGGAAGACAGGAGCTGTCTTAAACCCAATTAGCTCCAGTGCAGAGCATAGTGCCAGCCAGAAACCTCAAATGAAGTTGGCAGGAGGCCACGGGAAGCCCCTTGTTACCTTCCCAAGCCTTGCTCGTGGCCCACAGAACTATGAGGGCTGAAATGAGACGCAGTTGTGGTCTGACCAGCTTAATAAGAGGCGGTAGAGAAGCAAGTCCCTTATAAGAAGCCTTGGAGGAGGGGGGAGCCAGGCCGAGCGAGATGGATGTGGTGGCGACATTTGGGAAAGAAAGTGAAGTGTGAGGTGCAGGGGCAGGATGGTCCAGAGGGGAGCAACGAGGTTTGCAAGTGGCCTGGAGCACACGAGGTTGTGTTCGTAGGCCACAGCAGAGGAATGAGAAGAGAAGAGAGCTCCCCATACCCCTTTGGTGGGGGCTTGAGGTGATTCTTGGGAGCAGGTGTTAGTCGGTTGTCTTCCTGCTGGTCCTTTGCTCTGATCGGCCCGAAGACTGATTTGGCTGGGTGCCTGCAGGGCTGGATCTGTGCACGGGCTCACTGCCTGGAGGGTGCCCTGCTTGGAAAAAGATGCAATGTTGGAGAACGCGGAGGAGGGACAATGGGCTCTGCTACATCCTGTTCTAGAATCGAGGTGGGGGGCTTTTCCTTTTGCTGCCTGGGAGCAAAACAAGGAGCTTGATGGGCACCCATGGGCTGTGTGGAAGTCCCTGGCAGGCTGTGCTACATCCTGGGCAGTTCTACACTCAGGCTGCTTCATGGTCTTCTGAGGAAGAGCAGGAAACCGTGCAGCCCGCATGCGTCGCTATCTCTACTGGCAGCTGTCTTCACGGCTCCTGCAGGAACAAGCCTCGCAGAGCAGCGCGTCACTTGCAGCAGCAGCTCTTTGGCAAGGTCTCTGCAGTGGGAGGCTCCACTCCAACACAGACAGATGCAGGAGCTCAGGACAGACCAGGACCTGCAGCAGAGGAAGGTGGTTCTGAGCAACCCAGTGTCCTGCCCCCAAAGCAAATAGGGAGGTTGCCCTGGCACTCCAGGCCATGTATCAGGCTGGGGCTGGAGTCCTAGCTGGTGCCCAGGGCCCTGGTGTACCGACAGGAGACAGCTGGCCCTGGGTGCACCAGGGAGGGGGGCAGGGGGCTATCCCCAGCTGTTGTCCCCGGGCCTGTGCACCCTTTCACCCCGTTCCGTCGGCCCTGCTCCCACTTGCAAAGGCAGCAGAGCCACCCACGCCCAGGGGACTCCATTTCCCAGCCTCCACCGCGCCCGGAAGGAGGAAGGGGGAGCGTTGCCGCGGCAACCGCGGCCGCCTCTCGTCCTTTCCCCCCGTGCCGCGCATGCGCG